ACTTTTAAGGTGTCAGAATTAATGTATAGACAGATTTTGTAACAGCACTAACAAGTAGAATTGTTGATTAATTGGTCGGATCGAAAAGTTAATATGCAAAATCAAAACATTAACAACAAGTGAATTTGTGCAAAAATCTAAAAGTACATAAAGGAAAAAAATAAGGTTTATGCAAAACTAAAAATAAAAACAGTAACAAATAGATCAGGAGTAGAAAATAGGGAAGGAGTGTGACTTCAATAAACAAGGGAAATTCGTCATTTACTAGCCTTAGAATACCTACGATTTACTACGGCTCAATTGTACACAGTACATTCGCCTAGCATCGTGCGAAATTGGCACGCTGCCGCTGAGCCGCGGAGCTGCTGCTGATTGCGGTGGGGGGGCATACCAGCTGTAAATAGGTCAGATTAGCTCGTCGAGTGTTGCGTCGATGTCAAATCTCCCAGCGAGCCATACCGCCTTGCCGAGAGAGCAAGCTGTGGTTAGTAGCTGCCTTTTTGTTTCGAGTTAGGCAGAGAATACATTCGGATAGATGGCAACAGAATGGATAATTGTGTTGTACGTTTTCGTCTGTATCTCCGGATTGCAGGTGTATACGAGGAAACGATTTTGCACGATGCTAGGCGAATGTACTGTGTACGATTTGAGCTCAAGTTGGTTGAGTTACGCGTAGTAAATCGTAGGTATTCTAAGGCTAATAAATGACGAATTTCCCTTGTTTATTGAAGTCACACTCCTTCCCTATTATCTTCTCCTGAAATAGATGTATACACAAATTAAAATGTTAGGGTGAACAAAAGGGCTTAAGAGTGGATGCATACGCCAATTACAACATAGGCCAAAGTGCAATAAAAAGGTGATTAACGAGCACACGTCACTGTCACTGTCACTGTCGCTGTCATGTCACTGTCACCGTCACTGCCACTTCGTTGTCACCATCACTGTCACTGTCACTGTCACTGTCACTGTCACTCACGTGTCGTTGGTCCGCCGCAGTACGGACGCCTGCTTGACATGTGTCAACCGAGTCACAAGCGCTACCAGATTGCCGTCACCAAGGTGCTCGGCAAGAACATGGACGCGATCATCTGTGACACGGAGAAGACGGCGCGCGACTGCATCCAGTACATGAAGGAGCAGCGCGCCGAGCCGGAGACGTTCCTACCACTCGACTTCATCGAAGTGCGACCTGTTAACGAGAAGCTGAGGTGATTAATGATTAGCATTAGTTACTAATTGAATTAATATTAATTGTTTTTTTTTATTTAAATAAATAAATTATTTTAAAATTATTAGATTGATTAGGAGGTAGATTAGCCACGCTGCTGTCTTCGCTGCTGTCCAGGGGTGGTTAGCAGTGAGTTCTATGTGCTTACCTGACAGGTTATATAAATGGAGTCGTCATGAAAACACTGCATGTGTATCATCGTGCAAAAAAAATCCGATGAACTTACATCAATATATACCTGTAAAAGGTTTCTCTCTTCCTTCCACTCCCTGTCTCCCCCAGGGTTCTCCAAGAGCACTTATAGCCTGGCGGCCCGTCGAGCCCCGCTACTCTAAATATCATAGCCGCCATGTTGGTGTATACACAAGAAGTTCAAACAATTAATACACGTTGTTTATACGCAGAGGCTACGGGTACAGCATTCGTATCTTAATGTCTCGAGGCTACGGGTACGGCAGTCACACTACGTATTCGCTGCAGCCGTATCTTAATGTCTCGAGGCTACGGGTACGGCAATCACACTACGTATTCGCTGCAGCCGTATCTTAATGTCTCGAGGCTACGGGTACGGCAGTCCCACACACAAGTACAAACAGTCACCCTAACAATAACTCTAAACCGAGTTATAGTACCCAATTAATCTATGGTGTATAACCCTTTGCTTTCAATATTTTGCATCTGAACTGACAATCAATCCCAACCAACTGGTGTAGGCTAGCTGGCACAATAATGTTCATTTTCATACTTCAAAATCCGAGTGTTTTCTAGCTCATCAAGAAATCTTAATCCTGAATTGAATCGTGAATTAATTTCCAACGGCATTATTACGGGGCAGGTTTTTGCCCATGTAAAACAAACATTTTCACCCCACATGCAGTGCTTCAAATTTACACACAGAGTGTCCCAGATTGCATCTCAGAGCTTCTACAATTCAAAAATGTTTGGAACCCCGACCCCCCTAGCACTGAGCAGCACTCCCATGCTATAATGAAAAAGCTTGGAGAACCCTGTCCCCTTCTATCTCGATCTCTCTGTCTTTTATTTATTTCTCTCTCTCTCTCTCTCTCTCTCTCTCTCTCCCCCCCTCTATCTCTTTCTCTCTCTTAATCTTCCTCTCCCCTCTCCTTGCGTGTAACCACATCGTTGGCTGGCTCTAACATGCCCGTCGGCTCTTTCTCTCTTTCTCCCTCACCCTTCCTCCCCCCTCTCCGCGCGTTACCAGGACGATGGCCGTCTCTAACATCCCCGTTGGCTA